CCCTGTAGGCCTCAGGTTGCTCCTAAAAACATCCTCTGTAGCCAACTCTCATACTTCTGGCTGGACTCACTCACTTCCCCGCCTGTCTACATTTCTTGCTTAGCACCCTCAGGAAGAGGGCCGTAGGGAACCGAGACTAAGCTTCGTATCTGCTTAGTTCAGAAAATGGTGTGTTAGTGAAAAAACACGGGGACTTGCTTCCCCTCCCAAAATACTTGGCCCCTCAATTTGTCACAGGTATAAAGGGCGTCCTCACGGGGCTGCTGAACAGGCTTAGCAGAAAGAACATCTGCACAGAATCGGGCATGTTGTGAGTGGTGAATTAAGGGCACTTATAATGATTCCAAGGAACTGCCAATTAGGACATAAAACTGTGAATTTTAATTTAGAATCACAGGAAACAGGGCTGTGGTCAGAGTAACAGCTTCTGCTTTCCTTAGGGGTTTTGTCTTATAATCAGTAATTCAAAATACTGTGACTTCTGAGACGATGCCTCTCATCCTAGTGCCGCACAGGCAAGTGCAGTAGCCAGAACGGGGGCTGGGGGAGTCCTGACCGTGCAGCAGGGTGGGGTCAGGATGTGAGGAAGGAGCCCTCAGGCCGAGGGGACAAGATTCCTGGAAACCGTCTACGGGATGGGACTGGGGGCAGGGAGTGTTAACCCCAGCCCCCCCCCTCTGAATGACAGATGAAGGCTACTAGACCCTTTTAGTTGAGATAAGGCACTTTCGTTCACGCAAAGTTCTGCACACGATTTTGGGTTAGGAAGCGGAGAAAGCCTCCAGACATAAAAGGCTCTGACCGCCTAGTACTGGGGTCCATCTCCCCAACTCCCCCAAAGAGAAAAGACCGGAACACAATGAGAGCCCCACTGACCAGGAGCCTGGTGTCCTTGACGACGCATAGCTGCTTGGCCCACTGTCCCAGCCACTTCTTGCGCCACAGGAAGGCACAGATGCGGGCGTCGCGCATCAGCTCGATGCCGGCCTCAGGCGACGGCCACTGATAGGGGGCCGACTTGCCCTTGCTGTTTTCCTCTTCGTCGTAGGACTCGTAGGAGCTGCTCACTGCCTCTCCGTCCTCTGCAAGGAAGAGCCACGGGGTCACGGACCCATCGGGCAGGGGCCATTCCAAACGTGCTCCGTCCAGGAGGGAGGGCAGCAGGCAGGGGCGGCCAGCGGCCTCCAGGCCGCAATGCACCTGCCTCTCTGTGCCCTTGAACCCAACCACAGACCTGGGCAGGCCTGGCCCCCAGATGTCCTCGGTGAAGCTTCCTGGATGCTGCTTCTGGCCACAGACATGTAACTAAAACCAGGAGTCTCTCCCTTTTCCTCCTCAAATCTGTCACCCCAGGCTCCGCAGAAACCTCCGACGAGACACTGCCCACAGGCGACTGTTCACGCTTCACAAGGCCAGTGCCCCCCACCCTCCGCCCCCCGGGGCCTGTTTCTTCACCTAAAGGAAGAAGCAGGGGGTGAGCCTAGCAACAGGCATTCTATGGGCCGCAGGAAGGGCTCACCATCTGAGCCCAGGCTGGGCACATGCTGAGCCTCCCACAGCCGCCTGCCCAGCAGGGCCTGCTCTGTCCCTGGTCTTGTCCTGGGAGTGGGGGCGTGGGGGAGGTGGGCTATAGCTTCTTAGGGTGAAAGAAACCGCAGTCGGAAATGGCTCTGTGGGGAAGGCCGGCCGGCCCCCTCAGTCGCAGCCCTTTCCCAAACCCACTTCCAGCCTCCCCAGACTCTGCTCGCTCTCCCCCGCCCACTGCACACCTCCCTGCACAGACAGCCCCTTCTGCTGGCTTCCATTCCTACCCTTCCTCCGCCTCTGGCGACCAGCCCACCTCACGCGTGTGTTCCGTTCAAGAGAATCCCCAAGCTCACCAAGCACAAACTGTTCGATTCTGTACACGCTCCACATGCCTCAGTTTCTGTCCTCCCCCCGGACCCTGCGAGAGTTGCTCTGTTCTCTAGGCCTCGCTGCGCTACTCAAGATCAACAAACACTAGGTGAAGGACAAAGTCAGTAAAACCCCAAAAAGCAGGACACGGAGAAAAGAGAATCTCAGGATCTCTGGTGCAATCCCTGCCCTCGGCACGCAAATCCTGTCTGTTGGAATCTTGGTGCTGCGCTGGCCTCTGCTTGATTTCCCCCCTGGATGGGGAGCTCACTATCTTATGAGCACTGGATACCTCCTTCTATTACTGGGTAGCGATAACAGAAAGTCAGGCCGCTATCTACTCCCCCGGGACTTCTACAGACATGCTCTGGCCCTTTGAGTCGCAGTGAATACACCTCCTCTACCCTCCCCCTGATCCCCTTTGGAAAAAAGTCAGCCTGTGGGCCCATAGCCTTCCCTTCTTTAGAAGCCCCTTCTACTATCTGTACAGCCAGGGTCCTATGTACTAGGAAAACAGCACCGCCTCTGAATTAAAACGTAGAAAAACGTAACGAGGCCACGGCCACAGTTATTCCAGCTCCAATGCCAATGAAAATGTGCTTTACTATTCCTAAAAACAACACCGCCAGTATTTTAACACCAGCTTTCTTTAAAAGCTCCCTTTCACATCGTCATAAAAACGTGGCACGGTTCATAATTTCACACCTATTAAAGAAGCAAAGATTGAAAGCCGTGGCATAGCCGATGGGAGAGCCGAACTCTCCCACTGCCGGTAGGACCATACAGGAACGCAGGCCTCTCAGAAGACTACCCGGCAGCTTGTTGTTTTGTTTCGAGAGCCGTAAAAACACCCATGCCCTTTGACTCCCACAATCCCAGTCCTGGGAGTTGATCCTAGGAAACTAGTTTTTTTTGTTTGTTTGTTTTGTTTTTTTAAATAAAGAAGCAGAGGGTGGGGGAGGTTACATAGGCCAAGATATTAAATCCAGGACCATTTACAGTCAGCAGGAGAGCAGGGAGGTGGCGAAGCATGATTGCATCCACTCTGGAGCATGCCCTGCGACAATCATCAAGGAGAACTCTGAAGGCCAGTCCCCAGCCCAGTAAATAGGATCTAAGTAAGAAGGCCCAATTAAACTGATATGTGCGAGCTTTTATACCCACAGCTCGGTACTGAAAGACAACAGGGAGAACTCAAGATAGCTGATTTGACCAGGTGGGAGGAGCAACGTGATTTTACTTGAAGAAAAAAAAAAAAAATGTCCTCATGGTCACTGCGGTATTATCTGTACAATAAGTGAAGTAAGAACGATACAATGTCACTGGGATGCCTCCTTCAGTAGCAAAACTTAATAGAGGGAGGCCACCGAGTTTAGCACGAAGAAGTGGGCCGAACCCCCTCACTGGTTGTGCTTCTGGGGTCCCCCACGTGTTCCGTGGAAAATTCTAACACCTGTCCTTCCACTCCGGGGCGGTCTGCGGAAGCTGAGAACAAACAGCAAATCGCAGTAGCTCAAACTACCTGCAGCCGCCCCGGGGGAGCTTGGGGCAAATGCACTGTAACTTCATTTATCTCTAAGAGCGATCGTAACACGGCCGTGAACGTGGGGCAGTCTTAAAGCAGGTACTTGGCTTCCAGGGGTCACGGGACGAACAGGAGTGACAGGCAGGATGCTCGGACGATTCCATCCCATTTCTGCACCCCTGGGTGGACCGCACCCCAGCATGTGCTGCTGGAGGTTTTGGGGAACAGAGGGCAGAACCACCACACGGCGTTCTGGTCCTTCGCCCACGCATGCGGATGCCAGCTGTGGAAGGCCGAGTAAGTCTCTCCTTCCGGAAGGATGACACATGCCATGCACATGCAGGACCCATGCACAAGGCCCATGCGCAGGGCCACCCTCGGGGCATGCATCCTATTCCCTGAGAGCCAGGCAGCAGGCACCAAGTCACTGGCATTCCGCTCCGGGGACAGGCAGTACCCAAGGTGATCGTGGCGTAAATGACTCCGTCGGGCACCTGGACCCATCTGGGGATTCCAGTGGGCGAGAATCCACCACAGTGACCTGTATGAGATCCAGAAGCACAGAGAAAGGCAAGGTGGAGAGACACAAGCTGAAGAGAGGGACAGACCCAAGCGCGGAGGGTGACACAGAGAGACCCAGTTGTCCATCACAAGCCAGTACTTCCCCACTGGAGGGGTGGGTTCTCAGGAGAGGCCCTAGCCCGACCCAGGACATCTTTCCTCAGCACCTTCTCACCCAGAGATGACCACGTAAGTACTCGTCACCAGTGGGAGGTGCGTAGAAGGCCCCTCTGGCTGGTACTTTTAAGAAGCACGTAGGAATTCTCTGCTGTCTCTTTGCAGAGGATTCTGTGGCCTTAGAGGGTGGCTGAGCCCACACTGGAAGGCGGCTAAACTACCTGGTGAGCAGTGATCCCCACGTAGGACAGTTCACGAGAAACAGACATGTACTGTGTCACCATAACCTGGAAGGGAGGTTATCTGCTCCAGCAGCTGCCAGGTCCCCCACACGAGACATTACAGGCCAAGTAGCTGATGTCTCGGGCAAGGAGGCCTGACCCTCGTATCTCCTGCACAGGCCATCAGGGAGCTTACTAAGCTGTTACTCGGAGAGAGGGACCTGCCCCATCAGAGCCGGGTGGGGACAGTGCTGATGAAGCAGGACAAGAGCCCAAGCAACCGCTCTCTTGAAGGAAGTCCGCAAAATGGCTGGTGGCCAATGAACCAGGGCAGGGGGCAGGGGGCCAGAGGTCACTCCTCCCGGTGTGACCAGCACGTGTCACTGCTCAAACAGGTGCAGGGGACAACAAGCAGGAAGTGAGGGCAGGCCGGCTTTCATATGCCGGTGACGCCCTCCCTTCACGGCCCGTGTGACCAGTTCTCCCCAGGTCATCCCCGGTCCTTGTCCCAGCACGAGAGGACAGGCCGTCAGCATTCTTCCTGCACACCTTGCTGTGTTCACGCCGTCCCCACAGGGACGCCCTGGTCCCGGCTAAGACCAACCTGAATTCACAGTCGAGAGACAAACCCCGACAAGCTTGAGCCCACTTGTTGATGACGAGGTGTGTGTCTGTCCCACAGACAGGCCCCCGGGAGCGTCTGGGAGGCAGGCCCCGGCTGGCACGGGCCACACCCCAGAGAGCCAGGCTTGCGAGGCTCAGAGGTGCTCGTCACGGTGAGTCACAGCTTCCTCCTTCCACACACATGAGGATGGCCGCGCCGCACCGTCGGCTTTGCTCTGGAATCACAGCCCCGCCGGAGACGTGGCAACACCCCACACGCTCAGTGGGTTCAAGCTAAGTGATGCCCGCCCACAAACCAGGAGAATAAAATAACCTCCATCCAAACAGGCCCTCACCTCCCACACAGTTCCTGGGACCGGAGGCAGTAGGTAAAGTGTGGAGAAGGATCCGACGCGGCTCCAAGGGACCTGTCCCATGTGATCTCTGGTCCTGTTCCTTACGGAGCCGACAACACCCCTCTCCAGCCAAGTTCAATCCCACCACCAGGGACCCTTGCCTCTTGCATCTGCAAACTGCTTTGTGCTCTCAAAGACCTTTCACTTATCAAGGAAAGGAGCAGATTGAAGTAAGAGGGGGGAGCGAGAGGGCCAGAGTCCAGCTGCTCAAGTGAGTAGGCCCATGATACTCTTCCTTCTGGAACTTTTGGGGCCCTTCTGTGCTAGCGAATCCCTACTCCAAGAGCACTTTTTTTTTTTTTAAGTTTATTTATTTATTTTGAGAAAGTGAGACAGAGCATAAGCAGGGAAGAGGCAGAGAGAGAGGGAAGAGGACAGAGAATCCCAAGCAGGCTCTGCACTGTCAGCGTGCAGCCCTACGTGGGGCCTGAACTCACAAAACCATGAGATCAGACCCGAGCCAAAACCAAGAGTTGGACACTTAACCAACTGAGCCACCCAGGCGCCTACCCCCTCCAGAGCACTTCTGATCTGAATCTCCCAGGCTGAGAACCACTGGCCAAGGCCAGAGGGCTCCAGTGTGAGTCCTGCCCCTATGGCACAGGTCACCTTAATTCCTAAGTTAGGTCAGTCACTAAGTAACCCTCCAAAGGCTTGCAGTCTCATCAGAGAGAAGCCAAAGTCCTCACCATGACTGGCTGACTTCTTTACCCTTACTCCAGCCACACAGGCCTCCTTGCTGTTCCTTAAACATGCTGAGAGCCCCCCTCTCCCCCCCCCACCCGCCTCAGGGCCTTTGCATGTGCTACATGGTCTGGAAAGTTCTTCCTGGAGGTCTCTGCCTTCCCCACATTCCATTTCATTCAGGAATCAGCTCCAGGTCATGCTGTCAGAGAGGCCTTCCCTGTTTAAAATAACACCTTCTCCTGCCCCAACCCAGCCCCTATGTTTTCCATCCTAACACTGTATTGTCACCTGACATGCCCCATGTTTATTTGTTGTCTGCCTTCCCTCACAGAATCTAAGGGCTGTGACTCTGGACTGTCCTGAGCTCTGCTGAGCTCCTGACTCCCAAAAGCATGCTTGGCACACAGAGTGAGCACAGCTAACTATCAGGCCAACAGAGAGCCCCAGAAACAGCTCTGGCTCGGCCGGACCACATTCCCGTTGCTTACACGTGTCCCTGGACCGACCCACCTCTCCTCCATCACATTTCTGTGCCAAAGCCAGCACCGTCCAGATGGGAACGGCATCAGACACAGGAAACCAGCTCACCGTGGACCATCCCACGCCTCCTCGCAGGCGGCCTGGGTCTGCTGGGAGCTCTCAGCTCCCCACCAGAGCAGAGGCCCAATGCTCTGTGGCCAGTTCTCAATTCGGGCCACGCTCTCTGGGAGCAGCAGCCCAGGCTGCCCGCGGCTTCCAGCACTGGCATCTGGGCAGGAAGTGACTGGACCCCCTCCGAGTCCCAGCCCTGGCCCCGGGGTGTACCGTTGAGTGATGTGTCGTATGGCTCAGCCTCTTCATAGTAACCCTCTGGAGACTCAATCTTGGGGACGGAGAGTTGCTTCCGCTCTGGAATCTGTGGTATGAACAAACAAAATAAACATACTCAGATATGATACACTGAGAACAACTTGGAATTAACCCTCTGGGTAGAAGGAGGGGATTCCAGAAGAAGAAGAAAACCGTCTGGTTGGACTTCAAGTCAGCTGGGAGGGAGAACGTGAAATGCCATGGCTCCCGACAGCCACCACGTCCGCTGGTCTGCTCCCACAGAAGGGCTGCGGGCGCGTTGCTGAACCCCGCAGAGCCTCAGCTTTCTCCTCTGCCAAATGAGGCTGAAATCCGCCCCGGCCCCAACACACACACAAAATGGCCTTGTGTGCGTGATATGGAATGCATACAAACATCCAGATCGTGTCAGGCCGCTGTGGCTTCTAAATAGCATCTACTTTCGAAAACGACAAGGGCTAATCAAGCACACACGGAGGAAGGTGACCTGGGTTCTAAATCCTGAACTTTCACCATAATTCCGACCACTCGGATGGATATTGGGTGGCTCCTGTGTCCAAGCTGCAAGGGAGGCGTCCGGATGTCCCGGAGTCAGTCCTGACAAAGACTTCACCAGGTGGTGGATGCTCAGGGCTCGCGCTCACGTGTACGGTCAGTCATGTCCTCATAGACGAGGTCAAAGTTCTGTGGGGACCCGGAGGGCGTGAGGAGCGTTTACCACCACCGGGAGGACACGAGCTTTGAGTGGAGTCTCGAAGATGACCCTGAGCTTCTTACGTGGCACAAGCACGACTGGGGAGGAATAACGAATATACCCAAACGTGCAGAAACGTGGAGCGTGCATTCTGTACTCCTCCATTATTCTGTACTGGAAATGGTTTGGGAAAGCCCTTGTGCTGGGCACTCGGGGAACTTCGAATGAAAGCAGTAGAAAGGGGTGGGGGGAGACGGAAGGAGGGCGGCCAACGGAAAGACCCCACACGGCCCTGGGAGATGGGCCTCTGGACCTCGGAGGACTCCCTGTCCTGCCGGCAGAAGGGGAGATCTAGAAACCCCTGCCTCTGAAACGAGCTCATGAAAACGAGGGACTTATCACAGAGACGGCTCCCCAAGTCTTGGCCCAGGAGATGGTGGGAGAGCGGTCAGCCTGGGCCGGGGTCCCCACGGTACGGGACTCGGCATGGGCTGCGAGAGCGTCCACCCCCCGCCTCCTCCAGGGCAGAGCAACGATCCTGCGGCTGCTTCACCAAAGGCAGCATTCCAGAGCCAGGTCCGGTGTGGCCTGGCACCTCATATGGACTCTGGAGTGAACGTAACTTGGTCGCAGTCAGGGCTTTAGGACTCTGTAGATTCGACTGACGGGATGTGATGGCCTCTCCCTCACCTTCCCTCCCTACAAACGAGAATAAACCCAGGGTTGTCTTGAGACAAACCGTGACGGTGTTTCCACAATGCTTAGCCCCGTATCAAACATGAGGAGGCTGTCACTGTCATTGTCTGGGGGCCGTCCACGCCCTGGGGGGGCTGCAGGAGCCGGGTCACCGAATCACCATCCGACAAGCTGAGGCAGGTCTACACGCAGAGGGTTGGTGAGGCCAGGCCAGAGTGTGGGTCCAACTCTGAATCCTTCTAAATTCACCTGGCCTCACATCAAGAGAGCAGATACAAGATCCAGAGGTAGGCCTCGAGCCGCTTCCAGCACCCCCACGGGTGCAAGAGGCAGAAAGGTACAGAGCATGAAAAGAACAGAACGTGCTCTTTTCCGAAGCAGATCGGCTGCTGCCCTGGGCCCGCAGATGCGGCTGTGAGTGGCACCGGGTCAGGCTCCCTCCCGAGGGCAGGCCAGGCACGCTGCACATGGTAGCTGCCAGCAGGATGACCTTTCGGGTCTGCTGCCACAGCCTGGTGAGTTGTCTCTGCTCGTCTCGGCCATTCCCGGCCCCTTGGTCAGTTTGAGAAAGGGCTGCCCGAGACCCAGCCGTGGTCCTCGAGAGCCAGCTTCCCGGGGTCCGAGGGGAGAGCATCGCCTCCCCTGAGAAGCAGCAAGGTCCCTGCAGATGGGTCCTGGAGCTCATGTTTCCTAAGCTGGCCTGGCCCCCGGCTCCAGCCTCCAAGAAGCCCCATCCCCATCAGGTGGTGCTGGGACCCTTCGCTCAGGGAGGGGGTGGGTCCCATTTAGAGAGAAGCTCCAAGCATCCAAGATCGAGCTGCAGCCCAGACTCCTGCAATCAGAACAGGACAAGGGGTGGGGGGGGAGGGGGACGAACCTTTCTTCAGAAGCCCCTCAGGGGTCATTCTCACCACGTGGGTCCTACTGTCCTATCTGGGGGCGGAGTACTAGAGAGTGTCTTCTGAGAGTCTCCCAAGCCTCTCCCTGTAAAAATCCCCTGTAAATGGATCTATGGGGAGAGGCAGGAGAGGGAGGTGGTAGAAATCCAACCTCCAGGGCTAGGGTTTGAAACCTGACATGGTGCACCCCAGCTGTGTGTCCCTGGGCAACTTACTTGACCTTTCTGTGCCTCAGTTCCTCCACTGCAAAATGGGGAGAGCAGAAGTACCTGTCACATGGGGCCACTGTAAGGATTAAACTGTGCCCAGCACTATTATCCAATACATATGCATTTTTACCAACCTAAAAAATACAAACGTATCAGTGAAGAGAGAAAAGTTGTCAGCATACACGTTCGACAGAGGAAGAACGGCCGTATCCTAAGGAGAGAGAGGAGACGTCTGGGGTTGCCCAGGCTTATGCCCAAGCTCAGCCCTCATTAAAGAAGATGGTCCCTGCCCTCAAGGCTGCTGGGGCAAAACATAAACCCTTGAGTCAAGTTACAGGTTAAAATGATTTGCACAAAAATGCAGAAGAGAGTCACATAATGACACAAGTATAATGACCCGTTTTCTGAAGTCAGAGGAGCAAGGGAGGCTGATTTCTCAGGGAAAGAATAGAGAATGAGAATAAAGGGATAAAGATAAGGGACCGTTCAAGTTCATCATCATCATCATCATTGTGACGGTGCAGGTTTTAGACACTAAACGCAGGTGCAGAAGAGAGATGACTTCACAACCTTCAGAAGGCTCTGAGAATTCACAGGAAGGGACAGGAAAGAAAGCCACGTGGCTCAGCCGGATTTGCCAGAGGTCTACAAACTTCTCTGTAAAAGGCCAATAATACATTCCTAACGGATCGGCAGGTCATTTGAGGGTCGCTGATCTCAGCTGTTCAACTCCGCTGTCACAGAGCGAAAGCATCCATAGATAATATATAACTGAGAAGCGTGGCTATGTTCCAATAAAGCTTTATTTACAGTAGCAGGTGGTTGTGGATTTGGCCTGGGGGCTAGAGTCTGCCAGTCCTGATTTAGAGTAGACATGAGAGCTGAACGTGGGCAGTGGCCTGGATGAGCTGAGGCGTCGGTCTCTGTGCTGATGAGCAACCTGCCCCAGCGGGCACTGTGGAACATTCCCGGGACAGGACTAGCAGATCCGGCCAGCCCCGGCTCCCCAGACCGAACGTGGCAACGTCCTTGTGTGGAGTAAGCTGCTTCCCCCATAGAGAAACCCACTTAAGATCAGCGCCAATGCATGCTCAGGCCTCAAAGGGTGGCTGGGGCAGGGATGGCTGTGCTGGCCGGGAGCATCAACGAGGCCAGCACACGTTTCTCCTACGGTGACCGCAGCACCTGGCTGGGCGCACGGCAGCGGGAAGTGCCACGGCTGCCTGAGTCACTGGTCGCACCCACGAGGTGGCCCCGGACCCCTGGCTGCCTTTTCCCTTGCTATCCATGGACTCTGCGGGGGTGGAGGGGGGACCCAGGCCACCAGAGAGGGAATCAGGGCCTGGGCCTGAGCCTGCGACAGAGGCCACGCTCCCGGCCCAGCCACAGGCACTGAGGACCACAGGCAGATGTCCCGCCTCTGTCTCAGCCATCGGCAAGCCTGCGGGACTTGCCACAGCTGTTGAGACGAGTGCGGCCTGACTAGTTTCTCCCAACAACCTGGTCCCAGACCCTGCGTCTCCCGGCCCACCGCCGTGTCTGCAAGGCACAGATTTCCAGAACAAGGCAGCACCACCCAGTACTTGCCTGTGAGGCTCTGACTGCTGACAGCCTCTCCCACCCGGTGCTGGGCCACAAACTACTGCCCCAAGAATGGCAGACCCCAAGGCCCTGGCCAGGGTCGGGTGCTGAATTCCGGAGAGGAAAGTTCCAGCGCCAAGCAGCCACCTCCCCTCCCCCCTCCCGGCGAGCAGTGCCTGGAGCACCCCAGAAAACCACCGCATCTCCCACTGGTTAGACTGGCAGCAGCCGGTCAGGAGCAGAGGCCCCCCCTTCTCCCGAGCACTGTGGCGGAAAGTGAGGAGAGCCCGCAGCTGGAAGGACCAGAGACTACAGCCTCACTCTGCTGGAAAGACGAGCTTAAGTCAGGCGGGCCTGCAGAGTGGCCTGGAAACCAAGAACCCGCATTCAGGTCTTGGCCCCGCTACCTCCCAGAGGTGGGCCCTTGCCCGATTACTTTAACTGAGCCTCTATTTCTTCATAGGAAAACAGTGACAAAAAATATGCATCTGTAGATGGATGGCGGGGAGGCCCCAGTTTGTGTCCATCAGGGCGCCAACGGCCCAGGTGTGGCAGTCACCCGCTTCGCAGCATAGTGGGGACAGCAGGGACTCAGGCTCAGGCCATCAAGTCTCACTCAGCCTGAGATGAAGAGTCCCCACCAGTTGGTGACGGGGGGGCGGGGGCAGGGGGGGTGCTTCACGTACAGGGAGACTGACCCAGGTATTCCGGACATCCTCAGGAAGGCACAAACGGAGAGGGCCAGGCTGGGGTCCGGACACCCTTAGCGGTGACCTGGGCCCACAGATCTGTCCCTGGATAGCACCCTGGGAGCTCAGTGACCATGGGAGTCACACAGCTTCCTGCTGGCACTGAACCCAGGACCCCACTGTCCCCCAAACCCTTCCCACTTCTTGACCCCAGGACCCTGCTACGCATAGAAATCCTTCCCGTTTCACACCTCACACCTCTCTAGAAAGCCTCCCTGACCAGGCCCTAGACAGGGAAGAACTTGGGTTCAAATTCTGGCTCCACCATTTCTGTGTGTGGGGACGTTCAGACGCTATTAACCTGCAAATTCTTGGTTCCCTCACCCGTGAGATACGAACACCGCTACTTACCTCCCTGAACACCAACGCAGTGTGCCACGCATAGCCTTAACCCATCCAAGAAGACAATCTCAGGAGACAGAGATCCACATTCTTTTAAACACCGGGAAACAGAGGGCCAGAGACCTTAAACAACTTGCTCAAGAGCAAAGAGCCAGTACCCGGTACAGCTGGGATCTGAACCCAGGTGTGTAGGATTCCATGATTCATTCCACTCATTCACGTGGCCTACTGTGTGCATATGCCGGGCGGGAAGCAATAAATGAGAGACACTGTCCCTGTCCTACGAAGCTTACGTCTGGTCGGGGAGGCAAATAGTACAAAGATCACTTCAGTGGTGGCAAGGGCCACGGAGGGGTAATTGGCCCTGGGGTAGACGGTGACTGGGGTGGGGACAGAGTTGGGGTGCCTCATGCAGCAGGTCGGAGCAAGTCTGTCTGTGAATGTCTGGGAGATGAGAAGGCAGCCACTGGACAGCCAGGATCCAGACGGTACAAAGTCCCCGAGGCAGCACTGAGCCTGTGGTATAATCCAACGGCAGAAGGGAGGCCAGTGAACAGCAGGTGCAACGGGGCTGCAGATGCAGCTGGGCCAGGCTGTGTAGACCGTGTAGGCCGTGGGGCCGGGCTAAGGAACACGGATGTTTTTTGCCTAAGCTCAATGAAAGCGTTTGGCCGGTCTGAGGCAGGAAGTGCAAGGCGATATGATTTACGTTTCCAAAAGTTCGCTGTGGCCTGAGCCGGTGACCACAGCTCTACAGGGCCCCACTCACATGGTGCTGGGCAGAGCCCGGAGGAGCCTCAAACACTTGGTGGCATCCAATAAAGGCAACCCCCTGCATCTCCCACTCCCTTTACCCTTAGCGTCCTGAGTACCGTGGCCCTGGGCAAATGATGCCACCCGCAGGCAGGCGTGCTTTTGTTCTGTCTCTCTCTCCCAGTGCCTCGCCCCATGTCCTGCACACAGTAGGCGCTCAGAAAACACCAGATGTTTGGTGAACTGACCCCTGTGAGAGCAACTGGAAGTTCATGGGGCCCCGGTCAGGAAATCAGGGGTGTTGGACAAACACTTACGATCTTGGGTGGCGGGAGGTCTGGAAGGCTCTTCTGAGGGGCCAGGGAGTGCTGGCCAGGCTCCCCGTTGGGCAGTGGGTTCTGCTCCTCAGGTGCTGTGGGCGGCAAGCAGGGGGAGGCTTCAGTGAGGGGTGCCCAGTGTCACAGCAGGTGCGTTATCCGGGAATGTCTGGTCACATGTGCCATGAGATCTATTTGAGCAGGTGCTAATTACCCACGAGGAGGTCCCAGCAGCCAATGTTGTTGTTTTCCTTCAAGAATAGGGTGCAGTGGTGTCCCAGCCATGGGCAGATTCCTCCGAAGGAACTGGTTTGGGGCTTCTGGAAGCCTCCACACCCTCTCTACTACCTGCCCTGTGCCAAAAATGGCCTAGCCACAGAGATTTAGCGAGTCGAGAAGCTGCCCTGTGGTCATTATACGGAGCAGCTCTCAGCACCAACCCTGTGATTATGGCTCTTTCCACCCCGGTTTCCCCAGAAGGCAAATGACCCTGGGCACTGTGGCAGCCTGCGTGTGGATAATTTCTGCTGAGCCCCAGGCTCGGCGGTGAAAACATGAGGCAGAAAAGCCACAGTGGAGAACTTGGCCACCAACTGTGTGTGCTTTTAAGGATAAGGATCCAAAGGCCCTTCTGAGCCTGGCCATTTCAGCCAGGGGCCCAGCCAAGTCCAGGACAGGCAGGCTCAGGCAGATCTGACCTCGGGGCTTTGGTGGCTGGCACCTTGAAGCCAAATCTTTAACCGGACTGCACGCTTTGGAGCACTGCGTCCGACCTCTTGCTAAGCCTCTGCATTTCAGTCACAGGCTTGGGAGTTGGGGGATGGGGCTTTTAATCTCCTCTCCTCTGCAACGAGGCAGCTCTACAAACCTCTGGACCTCCCTAGGGTCCTGCCAGACCCACTCCTCAAGGTTTTCAGAGCAAAGGAGAGAGCAAAAGAGTAAGATACCATGGAAGACCTACTATGGCCTTCCAACATAAGATATAAAGTTCTGCCAAGAGAGCACCTTTGAGCAAAACTTTTGAATATTAAGGCAGCTGCAGACATCAGCATTTCCATCCTCTACCATCCCCCCCCCCCC